GACGCACAGAGGCCACGCCCACGACGCTCTGAGGCCCCGCTCAGGACGCACAGAGGCCACGCCCACGACGCTCTGAGGCCCCGCTCAGGACGCTCAGAGGCCACGCCCACGACGCTCTGAGGCCCCGCTCAAGACGCACAGAGGCCCCCTCGCCCACGACGCTCTGAGGCCCCGCTCAAGACGCACAGAGGCCCCCTCGCCCACGACGCTCTGAGGCCACGCCCACGACGCTCTGAGGCCCTCCCTCAGAACGCTGTGAGGCCACGCCCACGACGCTCTGAGGCACCCGCTCACGTAGATTATAGGCCACGCCCACGACGTTCTGAGGCCCTCGCTCACGTAGCTTAGAGGCCACGCCCACGACGCTCTGAGGCCCTCGCTCGCGTAGTTTAGAGGCCACGTCCACGAAGCCCAGAGGCCCCGTTTACGTCGCTCTGAGGCCCCCCCCACCCGCTCATGACGATCAGAGGCCACATTATTGATGCTAAGAGGCTCCTCTCACGTCGCCCAGAGGCCACGCCCACGACGCTCTGACGCCCGCGTCAACGCAGCCCAGAGGCCACGCCCACGACGCTCTGAGGCCCCCGCTCCCGCTGCCCAGAGGCCACGCCCACGACGCTCTGACGCCCGCGTCAGCGCAGCCCAGAGGCCACGCCCACGACGCTCTGAGGCCCCACACGCTCACGCAGCCCAGAGGCCACGCCCACGGCGCTCTGAGGCCCCCCTCACGCAGCCCAGAGGCCACGCCCACGACGCTCTGAGGCCCCACACGCTCACGCAGCCCAGAGGCCACGCCCACGACGCTCTGAGGCCCCACACGCTCACGCAGCCCAGAGGCCACGCCCACGACGCTCTAAGGCCCCCGCTCACGCAGCCTAGAAGCCACGCCCACGACGCTCAGAGGACCCGTTTACATCGACGATCAGAGGCCACGCCCACGACACTCTGAGGTCCCGCGCTCACGCAGCCCAGAGGCCACGCCCATGACGCTCTGAGGCCCCCCTACCCCGCATAGTGCAATAAGTGGGCGACTAGTGTAATCAGTAGGCGCCTGGTGCAATAAGTGGATGCCTAGTGCAATAAGCAGGCGCCTAGAGCAATAAGTGGGCGCCTGGTGCAATAAGTGGGCGCCTACTGCACTAAGCGGGCGCCTAGAGCAATAAGTGGGCGCCTGGTGCAATAAGTGGTTGCCTGGTGCAATAAGTGGGCGCCTACTGCACTAAGCAGGCGCCTGGTGCAATAAGTGGGCGCCTGGTGCCCTAAGCGGGCGCCTGGTGCACTAAATGGACGCCTGGTGCAATAAGTGGGCACCCGGTGCAATAAGCGGGCGCCTGGTGCAATAAGTGGGCGCCTACTGCAATAAGCAGGCGCCTATTGCTATAAGCGGGCGCCTACTGCAAAAGCAGGAGCCTAGTGCAATAAGTGGGTGCGTGCCTACTGCACTGAGTGGGCGCCTACTGCAATAAGCGGGCGCCCGGTGCAATAAGCAGGCGCCTACTGCAATAATTGGTCGCATAGTGCAATACGTGGGCGCCTACTGCAATAAGCGGGCGCCTGGTGCAGTAAGTGGGCGCCTCCTGTTTGCACCGGGCACCGACTCGGCGGCGGGGGCGGCGGCGGCGTCGGGATTCCGCACGCAGGGGGGGTGGCAGGCGCGGGGTTCTGTCCCCACGGCACCCCCACGTTCTGGTTTTGGGGGTGACAGGGGACTTGGGGGGGGGAAAGCGAGTCCCGCGAGGGGAGGGCGGCGCTTCCGAGGGGCTCCAGGGCGCGTGGCCCGGCAGGCGCGGCAGGTGCACCGGCCGGGTGGGGGAGGGGCTGCAGAGCAGGCGACAGTGACAAGCAGCCACCAAGCAGGGTGACACATGGGGGCGACACCCCCTCCGCCCCCCCCAGGCGTGCAAGGGACAAGCTTTGTTCCGCACAGTTCCAGGAGCAGAAGCTTCAGTGCGGTGCATGCGGGGCAGCGGTGCGTGGGGGGAAAAGCGCCACCAACAGGGAGGCGACACCGCCCGAGGTCACCCCTGCGGGTCTCGCCGGGCGGGAACCTTCCCCGCTGTCTCTTTAAGAAGCCCCCGGGCCGGCCCCGCCCCTCTGCAACCTGATTGGCCCTCCCCGTGCCCGTCAGGCATCCTCCTGAATTCCGATTGGCCGCCGCGGCTCCAGGGGGCGGGGCGGGGCGGGGCCTGGGCGCTCCGAGTAAGGGACCGCGGCCGTTTCCGCAGTTCGGGGCCGGACGCAAAGGGCCCGCGCGACTTCCCCTGTGGTCGCGGCCGCCGCCGGGCAGCGCTTGAGCTGGGGGGGACGGGTGGCCTCGCGCGCGCTCGTGTCGCCTTCCCGGGGGGCCCCCCGCCACCCCGACTCCCGCGGACAGGGACCCCCGACCGCCCCCGGCTCTTGCGCGACGCTCCCCGGCGCCGTGGCCTGGCCTTGCCGCGGCGCTGGAGGCCCGAGCTGGAGGCCCGGCGAGGCCTGTCACTCCCGGGGACCCCGGGCGGCCGGGCGTGACGGCGACACGGGGCTGGCAGGTGAGCAGGGGACGCGCCCCACCTTCCCACGTCCCCCCCAGGGCCCGGCCCTTCCTCCTCCTCCTCCTCCTCCTCGTCCTCCGTGCGCAGCCTCCACTCTCTCTGGGGGCGAGGCCCGGCCTCCCCGACCGAACAGTGGACAGCATAGCCCGCGCCTGCGCGAGACAGGCAACCCGGGAGGGCTTCCCGGAGGAGGAGGCTGGGGGGGGAGAGAGAGAGAGGCAGATATTGGAGGCTGAGGGTTGAGGCCTAGGGCTGAAGTCCAGCCTCGCCCCCTGCAGGGACAGACAGAGTGACGTGGCCTCCCTCCTGCTGGGCCTTCCTCCTCCTCGTTATTTCTTGTTTTTTTGGGGGGTCACAGAGTCCCGCTCTGTCGCCCGGGCTGGAGTGAGTGAAGTGGCGTCAGCCTCGCTCACAGCAGCCTCCGACTTTGAGGCTCAAGGGAGCCTCCTGCCTCGGCCTCCCTCCCGAGTAGCAGGGACTACAGGCACGCGCCTCCACGCCCGGCTCGTTTTTTCTATATATTTTTAGTTGTCCAGCTCATTTTTTTCTTATTTTTTTCAGTAGAGACGGGGTCTCGCTCTTGCTCAGGCTGGCCTCCAACTCCTGACCTCGAGCGATCCTCCCGCCTCGGCCTCCCAGAGTGCTGGGACTACAGGCATGCGCCAGTCCGCCCGACTAATGTTTTACGTATATATTTTTAGTTGGCCAATTAATTTCTTTCTAATTTTAGTAGAAACAGGGTCTCGCTCTTGCTCAGGCTGGTTTCGGACTCCTGACTTTCAGCGATCCTCCTGTCTCAGCCTCCACCTGAGTAGCTGGGACGACAGGCACGCGCCACCACGCCCGGCTCGTTTTTTTTCTCCATATATTTTTGTTTGTCCAGCTCATTTCTTTCTATTTTTAGTAGAGACGGGGTCTCGCTCTTGCTCAGGCTGGCCTCCAACTCCTGACCTCGAGCGATCCTCCCGCCTCAGCCTCCCTCCGGAGTAGCTGGGACTGCAGGCACGTGCCACCACCACGCCCGTCTCATTTTTTTCTCTAAATTTTACTTGTCCAGCTCATTTCTTTCTTATATTTTCAGTAGAGACGGGGTCTCGCTCTCGCTCAGGCTGGCCTCCAACTCCTGGCCTCGAGCGATCCTCCAGCCTCGGCCTCCCAGAGTGCTGGGATGACAAACTTGGCCTTTGGAATGTTAATGAGCTTGGGACACACCCTCCCAGGGGGAAGGGACTGTCCCCATTTCTTTGGTCCTGAGAGGCCCAGAGCTGCCCCAGGGCACCCCGTCTGGGAATGGCCTCCCCTCAGCCCTCCATTCTGGGCTCAACCCCTTCCTCCCCCGCCCGGCCCCCTCAGTCAGCCTCCACACCTTCGCCTTCCTGGTCACTCTGTCCCCAAGGCCAGGAGCGGAAAACAAGGGGCCGGGCGCGGAGGCTCACGCCTGTCACCCCAGCACTCTGGGAGGCCGAGGAGGGAGGATCGCTCAATGAGGTCAGGAGTTGGAGGCCAGCCTGAGCAAGAGCGAGACCCTGTCTCCACTAAAAAAAAAATGGAAAGAAATTAATTGAACAAGTAAAAATATATAGAAAAAACAAGCCGGGCGTGGAGGCACATGCCTGTAGTCCCAGCTACTTGAGAGGCTGAGGCAGGAGGCTCGCTGGAGGCCAGGAGTCGGAGGCTGCTGTGAGCGAGGCTGACGCCACGGCACTCGGCTCAAAAAATACAAATATTTTTATTTGTTTATTTTTTGAGACAGAGTCTCGCTCTGTCGCCCGGGCTGGAGTGAGCGCCGTGGCGTCAGCCTCGCTCACGGCAGCCTCCGACTCCTGGCCTCCAGCGATCCTCCCGCCTCGGCCTCCCTCCCGAGTAGCTGGGACTCCAGGCATGCGCCTCCACGCCCGGCTCATGTTTTCTATATATATCAGTTGGCCAATTAATTCCTTTCTATTTTTAGTAGAGACGGGGTCTAGCTCTTGCTCAGGCTGGTTTCGAACTCCTGACCTCGAGCGATCCTCCCGCCTCGGCCTCCCAGAGTGCTGGGATGACAGGCGTGAGCCTCCGCGCCCGGCTGTTTTTATATATTTTTTAAATTAAATTTTCAATTGTGTATCTTTATTTTATATATCTCTTTTTGTCAATACTGGTCTGCTGTATTCTTCATATTTTTTTTTTTTAGTAGAGACGGGGTCTCGCTCTTGCTCAGGCTGGCCTCGAACCCCCGGCCTCTGTAACGATCCTCCCTCCTCGGCCTCTCTCCCGAGTAGCTGGGACTCCAGGCGTGAGCCTCCACGCCCGGCTCGTTTTTTTCTATGTATTTCTAGTTGTCCAGCTAATGTCTTTCTAATTTTTAATTTTTCTTTTATATGTATATTTAGTTTGCCGATTGATTTTTCATTTTCATTTTTTTAAATATATTTTAAAAATTTAAATTTATAATATTTAATATATTTCTTTCTTTTCTATTTTCCTTCTTCCCAGTTCAATGAAGTGGTCAATTAATTTCTTTCTATTTTTAGTAGAGACGGGGTCTAGCTCTTGCTCAGGCTGGTTTCGAACTCCTGACCTCGAGCGATCCTCCCGCCTCGGCCTCCCTCCCGAGTAGCTGGGACTCCAGGCGTGCGCCTCCACGCCCGGCTCATTTTTTTCTATGTATTTCTAGTTGTCCAGCTAATGTCTTTCTAATTTTTAATTTTTCTTTTATATGTATATTTAGTTTGCCGATTGATTTTTCATTTTCATTTTTTTAAATATATTTTAAAAATTTAAATTTATAATATTTAATATATTTCTTTCTTTTCTATTTTCCTTCTTCCCAGTTCAATGAAGTGGCCAATTAATTTCTTTCTATTTTTAGTAGAGACGGGGTCTGGCTCTTGCTCAGGCTGGCCTCCAACTCCTGACCTCCAGCGATCCTCCCGCCTCGGCCTCCCTCCCGAGTAGCTGGGACTCCAGGCATGCGCCTCCACGCCCGGCTCATTTTTTTCTATTTTTACTTGTTTGGTTAATTTTCTTTCTATTTTTTTTATAGTAGAGACGGGGTCTCGCTCTTGCCCAGGCTGGCCTCGAACCCCCGGCCTCTGTAACGATCCTCCCTCCTCGGCCTCCCAGACTGCCTGGGCTGACAGGCGTGAGCCTCCACGCCCGGCCTCTTTCATCAGCTCTGCCACCACGGTGCCAATCCCCGCGGACGTCACCCCGTTCCCCACGACAGCCGCCCCCCGGGGATTCCAGGCGGAGGGGAAACCGGTTCTAGATCAATCCTGGTGCCTTCGACTAACAGACGGGGAAACCGAGGCATGGAGAGGGCACCTGGCAAGCCGCCGAGTGGCGTTTTTGTCTCTGCAGACACACAACGTGGAGGACAACCCCAGAGTTGGGGGGTTTAGGGGGACTCAATTCTCCGTTCTCCGAGGTCAGCAGGGTTAGGGGGTGCAGGCAGAAAATCGGGGTACCCCCCCGCCCCTTCTAGGCCTCCGGACCCCGCGGGAACCTGGGCCTCTTCGATTCCTGGCCTCGCCAACCGATCCCTCCCTGTCCTCTGTCCCCAGCCTCCTTCTCTGGTAAGAAAAGCAAAAATCAACTTAGACATTCATTTCTTTAGCTACGTTCTGGTCTTTCAGCGGCGTTTTTTTTAACGAGGCGTCGCTACCGTCCCCGTGGCACCGGGGGTTTGCGGGCGGTGACTCACCCCGGCGTCCCAAAACGGGCACCCGGCGGAACGAGAAGGGCCACCCACGGCCGCCCAGCTCGGTCACCCAGCCGGGCGCGGGGGAGGCTCACGCCTGTCGTCCCGGCGCTCTGGGAGGCC